TCACAGCAATTAAAAGCTGACTAGTACACTTGTCTTTCTAGAAATTTTCAGTTGGCAGGTAGGAAGGGAAAGTATGCCCATAAAACACTTCCATGATAGAAAATCAGATCCCTTGGAAAGGATTAAAGGGTCCTGCCAACCTAGTTGCTACACAAAGGCAATAGGGCTGTGTGAATCGTAATAGTTAGTAGAATTCAGATACACTTTGGACTTAAAATGATGAAAAACTTTCTTAAATATCCTCCCAAGACACTCCAGTGTCTTAATATTATAGCTCTACTATATTACTCCTCATAAATAATGGCTGTGAAATGTAACCATATAAAATTTGTGATAGGTAGAGAAGCTTAGCATTAATAGACCATTTTTGCTTTTAGAACAAAAGCAACCCCATTTGATTCTACTTTGTTGTAGTTTAAATTTTTACATGTCCCTTCTCGTATCTTCTTTTTTTCCCTACCTCTCCCCAAACTCCATCACGTCCTTCTCTGAGTACTAATACATCACTTGCTTTAAACTTGAATCTGATACGTTTATTTGTATTTTCTTTTCAAGAAGCTTTTCTCCTTGCAAAAATAAACTGTAATGCAATTTTAAGTTCCTCATATTATGATTGTTAATACTATTATTATACAGAAATATGTCATATTAGCAAAGTCTATGCTTTCAGAAAGTGATAGTTCATTGAAAAAAGCATCATTAATAAATATATGCATGATTCTAGCTATGTTTCAGAATTTGCTTTTCCTTTTTATTTATACCCATGAAAAATTCCTTCTAAAAAGGTAAGCTGGGCGGGAATTTCTTAGCTTTTCTAATATGCTTAGGAACCTCATGTCAAATGCTCTACCTCTAGGAAATAGAGCCACATGAGTCAGCTGAATCTTGTTGCTATGCCAATGTCTCTTTAGCTAGTCCCACTCTATCTATCTTGATTTTAAAAAGCCCAGAATGACTCATATGTGCCTCCCTATCTTCCCATTCCTCCACATAGCCGAGGTTTGTTTCCATAGATTTTTGCACATTATATTATTATTGCCATAATTTGTATTTATTCCAAATAGTATCAACAGTTATTTATGATTACTGATAGTTCTGATCAATATTTTAGGGTCTATTTTCTATTGTTTATTTTAAAGGTAAGAATCTTTTTTTAAAATAAAATTTATTAGCAAATATATTTTGAAGAAAATTAGTAGGCAAATCAGGGCACATTTATTTAGGTTAATTAATTCAGGGTCTCTTTTATTTAAATGTTCAAGTAATGCCTTAGAAAATTTCTCTTGCACTGACAGAACATTTTAAACCAACTAAAACTAAAGTTGTGAAACAAACTATCTTTAGAGACAGTTAAAAAAAATACTGCCTTGTTAGACATTTTGGAGTATTTCTAATAATATTACATACTTTTCCTGACCCAGTTTTAAGAGAATAAGTAATATATTTATAGTAGAGAGAAATTTATCATATTATGTCTTCTTTTTCCTAACAAATGTTGTTTAATCAAACTTAAGATAGAGAGCCTTTCTTGCATAGATTAGCCCTATATTTTAGAAGATGAAACATGTAGGCTAGATATTCTTCATATGATTAGCCCTTTCTTTGAGTGGTTCCTAGAGAAGAAGTTTCTCTATAATGTTGGTGAGAGTAATATTTTAATTACTTGCATATTCGAAGGTAACTTATCTTTCAGCCA